CTTTGAGCCTCCTCCACATATGGACCCACCAGTTCCAGAGCTTCCCCCTCCTCCATAGCCTGAGCCTCCTTTTGAGCCCCCTCCTCCACATATGGACCCACCACTGCCAGAGCTTCCTCCTCCTCCATAGCCTGAGCCTCCTTTTGAGCTTCCTCCTCCAGATATGGACCCACCACTTCCAGAGCTTCCTCCTCCTCCTCCATACCCTGAGCTTCCCTTTGAGCCTCCTCCTTCTCCACATATAGACCCACCACTGCCAGAGCTTCCCCCTCCTCCTCGTCCTCCTCCTCCTCCATAGCCTGAGCCCCCCTTTGAGCCTCCTCCTCCAGATATGGACTCACCACTGCCAGAGCTTCCTCCTCCTCCTCCTCCACAGCCTGAGCCTCCTTTTGAGCCTCCTCCTCCACCTATGGACCCACTACTGCCAGAGCTTCCTCCTCCTCCATATCCTGAGCCTCCTTTTGAGCCTCCTCCTCCACATATAGACCCACCACTTCCAGAGCTCGGTCCCCATGCTCCAGAACTTCCCCCTTTTTCTCCTCTGGGGATCAACCCTTTACTTCTGCTAGTGGCACCTTCAGAGCTCACCCCCCCTTTCCCACTTTTCAAGCCTGCAAATTTGACTCCATAGACTCCAGCAGCACTTGGATTGTGGTCAATGACACCTGCAAGAAATGGAAATGAGGTTCTTCTTATTCTTCTTATGCACGATAGCCATAAGCACAGCTGATATACATGGTTATGTATGTCTCACTCCTGGCAGTGCTCAAGGTCAGGTTGGACGGGGCTTGGAGCAACCTGCTCTAGTGGACGGTGTCCATGGCAGAGGGTTGGAGCTGGATGAGCTTTAAGGTCCCTTCCAACACAAACCATACCATGGTTCTATGATTTTATGAACACTCAGTGCAGCCCTTCCTTTAAGAAGGTCAGGATATGAGTTTCTCTCTCCTTTAGGTGGCCTCTGTCTTCCACAAACATAATGCCTACTGCTTTTTTCCCCCATTTCTGACATGCACCACGTGGACCTGTAGAATAAAGTCCTATAGAATTATAGACCCATAGAATAATGAGGAGTTTCCCAGTTCCTACAAATCTGGTTGAAATTAGCCATTACATTCCAAAGTCACTAGCTCAGTGTTAACATATTCATGCGTATGCGCACGTATTCACATGCAAGAGACTCACAAGAGACCACCATTTGCTTCATTTCCCTAGGGAACTAAGCTAGGAACTGAAATAGGAACAACCATAGATTGTTCTGGTGGTAGGTGCTATATACCACAGACACCAAACTGGTAAAGGTGCTCCTAAACAGCAAAGCAAAGCCTTGAGGTACTTACAGATTGTGGCAGGAGACCCTTCCAGTATCCTGTGAAGGAAAAGTGACATTGAGGCAATGCACACAATAAAAGACCAGGTCAGGGTAGGCTCTATCAGTGAGCCAGTGAATGAGGTTGCTCGCTCCAGGCAGCAATTCATCCTGGAGATCCAAGCGATAGGTCAAAGAATGGGACCCACTGCTTGGTACGGGTGCTTCTCTCCAGGCTAGGTAGCTTGTACCTACCTGGTCTCCTCCTCCTCAAGGAGTGATCTGTACATGGCAATTTCAATATCCAAGGCCAGTTTCACATTCAGGAGCTCCTGATAATCATGAAGAAGATGAGCGAGGTCATCGTTGGCCTGCCGCAGGGCGTTTTCCAGCTCCTGGAGTTTTTCCTGGCCATCCCTGACAGCATTGCTCCCACGCTGCTCAGCGTCTTTGATGCTCTCTTGGAGGCTGGCATTCTGCAGAGGGCACAAGCAGAAATGTCCCCATTTCCTTCCTATGGGACTGGGATTTTCCAACCCTTCTGGCAGGCCTTGGGAACCAAAAGACCTGCCTCAATGACAGAACCCAGGGTAAATTAACCCAAAATTAAATCCCAGTGTAGACAGCTGAAACCTGTATCTGCTTCATTTAGAAGAGAAAGCATCCTCTCTAGGTTTGCCTCCAAAGCACAGGCTGCATTATCCTGCACCAAGTCCCCAGGTAAAAGTGACTTAGATACTTTAGTCATGTTGGAAAGCATCAGCTTTACCTTTTTCCTTGCAATTTCAATTTCTGGTTGTAGTCTTTGGATCTGCCTGATGAGTTCCTGGATTTCCTTATAACTGGTGCTCAGTTGCTCACGTTGATTTACCCACATGTTCTGCAGGTCCTGGTACTGGTGTGCAGAGAAGAAAACAGACATATTTGCTTTCTTTTCCATTGAGCATACTTGCTTTTATGTCTTGTTGATGTCCACTCACCCTGCCCCGGTACATAGCATCTACTTCAGCTTTGCTCCTCTGAGCAATTGTCTCATACTCCTGCCTGACTTCTTCAATGATGCCATCCATGTTCAGTTCCCTACTGTTGTCCATGGACAGAACGACGTTGGTGTTGCTAACTACTGTTTGTAGCTGGGACAGCTCCTGAAAGGAAAACAAGATTTGGGATTTTAACAATCTATGTGAGCAGTCCAAGTCATGTCATGAGGAAAGAAATGACACCCTCCTGAAGTAACCCACTGGAACTTCCCTACCTGCATCCCTCAGGCCCTGTTGTTCCACCACCATTTTCATTTTCATTTTCAAATATCTCCTCACTCTTCGTGACACACCAAACCCCATCTGGGATACTTACTTTATCAGGTAAAAGACAAATGATGTCAAAGGGAAGCTGTGGCTGCCCCATTCCTGACAGTGTTCAAGGCCAGGTTGGACACAGGGGCTTGGAGCAACCTGCTCTAGAGGAAGGTGTCCCTGCCTGTGGCAGTGGGTTGGAACCGTATGAGCTTTAAGGTCCCTTCAACACAAACCATACCATGACGATCCACTTTCCGTAACAAAAAGTCCTGTTCAGGCAAAATTTCTGGGAACCTCCAAAAGATCTGTGTCCTTCAAGACCTGAGGGTAATCTTTTAATCTGAGAAGCTTAATACTCACAGCTTCATGTAAGCATCTGAGGAACTCAAGCTCCTGCTTCAGTATTTCCACCCGAATGTCAAATTCCATCTTTCCCATGTAGGCATTGTCCAGTTCCTGTAATAAAAGCCATACGCACATTTGTGGTCTTTTGATCCAAATTCTCCCCTGAAGTGCAGTTCTTGCAAGACTTAGTACATTTTTTTAAGGCCTTCATTCCTGGAGCCAAATAATGTTCCACAAACCACAGATCTCATTTGAAAAGTGGAACAAAAGGAAAGTTTTTAACTCTTAGAAGAGAAGAATGGCTTGGAAATGTAGGGGTAGGACAAGAGGGAACTGCCCCATCCGTTTCAAGGTCAGGTTGGATGGGGCTTGGAGCAATCTGGTCTAGTGGAAGGTGCCCCTGCCCATGGCAGGGAATTGGATCTGGATGAGCTTTAAGGTCCCTTCAACCTAAACAAGTCTGGGATTCTATGAAATAAGCAAAATAGTTTCAGCAATAAATGTGGTCCTAGAGAAAATGCAAAATATATAGAGAGATTTCATTAATTCTTCTAATGAAAAGTTGTCTACATTTTCTCTTCTCCCATCTAAGCCACCTATAGACATTATTTAACCCCTAATAACCATGTCTCACCTAGGTTGTGATTGAGTAACTAGAGGAAAACCTGCACTTCTCAGATAGTCATCCTACAAACTACATCCTACAAACTACAAACTCAGATAGTCATCCTACAAAGGACCGATTCAGTCTCTAGAGATGATTCCTCTCCAGTCTGGCAGTAAAAAGCTCCAGTTTCAATGACTTCAGTTAGAGGATGGTTAGATAAAGTTAAGCAAAGACCTAGCTTTTGAAAACCTGAGCAACCATCCAGTTACTGCTTTATTTCTGAGGCTTTGATTTAGCTCTTCACCTTTTTAAGCTCCACGAACTCCTCTTCTTTGGAGGCACGCTTGTTGATCTCATCCTCGAATCTGAATGGAAAATAAACAGGTTGCTAATTGCCTATATCACTTTTCCATCAAGGACATCAGAAACCAAAGGGAATCATCTAAGGAAATGTGTCAACTCTTCATCTAACTGCAATTTGTGACAGCTGCAAAACTCTATGCTGAATTAGCCAGCAAGCTGGGGAAGGTCCAGATCAGTTCTAACCCCCCTGTAATTCTGAACTCAACATCCCATTTCTCAGAGCTGTGGACATGTATTGTCTTTGGATGCAGCTAAGCCAGGAGAAGTGATGACTCTTCTCAACTTGACTCCACTGACCCCACTCCTCAGCTCTGTCCCTCCCATCCCCACTGTCCAGGTTGGCCACAACTCAACAACTATCAGCAGGAGTAGGAGTCTTGGGTTACCCATCGCCCGGGGGAGGAAGGACATGGAGAGGAGGGAAGAGTGGGGCAGATCTACAGGGTATTTGGTTTTCCTCTTCCTGTTCTGGGTTCTACCCTCACCAAATCTGCTCTAGTCTTCCAGTGCCAAAGTCCCTTAGTGAACCTACTGCAGAGTAGTGCTGTAACCTCCTGGAGGTGCAAAGCCATCCCAGTGCATGATTGGCATTGCCATGGAAAATTCCAGCCTGTTTTTTCCCACACTTGTGGTTATTCACCTCTTTTTATAATCTTCCACAAGCTGAAGCATATTGTAAGCTTCCGGATCCAGCTGCTCCCTCTGGTTCTGGAGCGTTTCCAGCTGCCTCTGCAGGTTGCTGATGTAAGACTGGAAGAAGGAGGTGATGTTTCTGCTCTCTTCTGGCCGGGCACTTTGCTGCTGCAGCAGTTCCCATTTGGCCATCAGAGCCTGGTTCTGTCGCTCAAGACACTGGACCTGAAAGACAATATAGAAGAATCTCACAGGCACTGGAGGACACTGGGGGAAACACCAGCATCAGCGTTGGTCCCTATAGAAAACAAATCCTAATTAGTATTTCCAATGCCGTAACATCCAGAGGTTTCATCAGGTGGGACCAACTGTACCAACACCAGTACTAACACAGCTTACAGTGAAGGGGGACACCTTTTGTCCCAGTCTGTTGCATAAGAAGGCTTTGATTTTACTGCTGCTTCTCAAAGCTGATACTGAAATCTTTGCTGGCATTTCATCTCTTATATGCACAGTATTTAGGGGATGACTGGGGTGGAGGGAGACTTCAGCTGTTCCTGAAGTACCTTAGAATACATGAATACATGAGAATATCGAATACATGAGAGGAATTCGCACCCTCTCAGCAGACCACACAGATCCATGCTTTTGTCTTAAAGAAGAAAGAAAGACCTAGAACATGCAGAGCTGATACGTTTAGAGGTATGTTTAGAGACCAGAGGGATGGCATCTTTTCAGCTGAGACACTGAATAGGTTTTAGCCTGGAAGCTGATATCCTTTTCAATATGAAAAGAGTCAAAAGTGCTCCTATTTTCCAGGACTAACCTTGCTTAAAACTTCTGGGTGCAATCAACACCTTTTCTCTAGGTAATACAAGAAGCCCTTAAGTCTTCACATGTAACACACAATACAAGCTTCCACCCTACGCAGAGACACATGTCGCCACCTGACCAAAGGAACAGGTAAGGTTTGAAAGGGTGGGTTTTGTGGCTGTACCTGTGAATAGCAACGAAGGAGAAGACCAGACTGCAGAGAGAGGTGAAAGCACAGTACTAGGCAAAGAAGAAAGATGTGGGGGCCACTGGCCACCTGAAAGAGGCCGGACCTCCAAGCAAAGAAGCCATTTGGTTTGTAATTTGGAGAAACGCAACATTTTTCTTTGCTTGAGGAAAATGTATGAATAAATGAATAAAACCAGAACACACCAAGGATGTCCAAGTCCATCCCCCATCAACAATTCCCAGGCCCCAGAAGATTCCCAGCCATGCAGAAACTCTTCTACTGTGAGTTAATGGGTGAGTTCATGTGCCAGTGACATCCCAGTAGTTTGCTGCTGCCCTACCACTGAAGACAATTCAGAGATACTTATCCCAGGGCTAAATGTGATTCATGTTTATAGCAAGCTATTAAAAACCTCACAACAGCACAAAGGAATCGAGCCAATGCTGTGGCTTTTGAGAGGAGAAGATGCCATTCAAAGTGTCCCTGTGACTCATGTGGGCAGAGCAGCACCCGTTACAATTCCCCCTTCCTGGAAAATGGTGAAAAAGAGAACAGGGACTCACCTTATCAATGAATGATGCAAATTTGTTGTTGAGATTCTTAATCTGCTCTTTCTCATCCGATCTCACTCTCTGAAACTCAGGGTCAACTTGTACTTCTATTGGCCTCAGCAGGTTGGTGTTGACATGGACCTCCTCAATGCCTCTGCTAACACCAGGCTGTCCCAAGCCCTGTCCAGCCCCTTCTTCACCAAAGGTGCTTCCACCAAGGCCTCCTCCAAGCACCTCCCTGCCTGAAACTCTTCCACATGTGCTACCAAGCCATGCTTCACCCCCTTGAGAAGCTCCCACAAAATATCTTGTTCTACCAAAACCCCTGTCCAGATGTCCCCTACCACCAAACCCCAGGCACATCCCATATCCTCTTCCTTCTCCTCCATAGCCTCTGCTGGTAAAAACATTCCTAAAGCCACCAAGGTTGTGGAGACTCCTGCTGCCGTAACCATACCCGTAACCACGGTATCTTCTTTCTCCTCTATTGTCTTCACAATGGCTTACGGTACATGAGCTTCTCCCACCACCAAGCGTGCCACAGTGAGCAGAAGAAGAACTGAAATTGCCATCCCCAAACTGGGAGAAGCGCCAGCTCATCGTGTTGCCTGCAGTGTTCGGACGAGAGAGCAGTGGAGAAGGTGGTAAAACAGGAGGAGAAATGAGAGCAAAGGATCCTCAGCTCCTCTGCTGGGGGTGATGGAAGTTCTCCTTTATATGTTGTGGAGGAGTTCATCTCCATTCCGTGGTAATTAGCAGGTCTTAATGCTATTGGGTTTGGTTCATCAGGCAGCAATTAATGGCTGCCTGAGGAGAGGTCAGAGTAAACACCACACACCAACGGAGACGTTGTGAAATTCCCCAAATCCTGCTTGACTCATGAGCTTTGCTGGGATGAGATTTCCTTATCTCCTTTGCCTGCCCTCCATATTAATTACAGCTCACACAGTTATCCGTGCACATCACCGTGCCTTGTTCTCCTTCACACCTCCCCACCTTTTTTGGCATCTCATTTCACGAGAATAAGGCCTTGATATTGTCCTCACATTGACATGGGGGTGGATGACCTTGCTTCACCGTGCCACCACAACCTACTACCAGGAGGAGAGACTCCCTTAGCTTGCCATTCCCACTTTTCTCTCATTCCCAATATTTCCACCCAGGAGAAATATTGCTCCTGCAGTGAAAGGGAAGGTGCTGTCATCTCCTCTTCTTGCTCATGGCATTGACTTTGGTTCATAAAGCGGAAAGAGTGTCTAGAAAACAGAAAAATCGGATCTCTCTGTATCAATTTTAGTTCTGAATAAATGGATACGTAGTTTTAAATGGAAAAGAGAAGCTCTAAACCCTAAACTTTAATCAATTGAATGAATCTTTGAAGTATTAAAGATGAGGTCAACTTAGGAAAAAGGTGACCCATCACTTCCACAGACTAGGAGTCTTTTGCTGTGATTGCTCCTGCTCTTCCATGTGGGAATAGTTAGACCATAAACCAAACCTGCCTGTTTGTGAGGTGTTTTTTAATGGCCCTGCTACTGGAAAGCTGAGATATCAAATCCAGAGCTGGGCTCCAAGCTTTTCTACCCAGGTTCTCCCTCTGAGCCTGATCCATCCCTCTTCATCTCTGTGAAAGACTCCACCTTCCCAGTCTGAGCACACTCCAGTGCAAGACTCAATGGCCATGGGCTCGATAGAAACCCTTTGGGAGCCAAGTCTTGCTGCTGACAATGCCACTGAGAGACTTCAGCCTTGACTAACAGCTCAAGAAGACAACTAAGATCTGATGCACTGTCTCCAAAAACAGTGGTGGAACAATTTTCACAAGGCAAGTGTCTCCCCTTTGTCCCCTGCACCACGTCAGGAAGAGCTGGACTTCATCTGAAGGAGGTGTTCTTCCTGCTAAAGCTGCTGGATAATGCCACACTGTGAACCCTTCAGTTACATAGAGGTTGTGTGGTCAGGGCTTTGTAATTCTTGCTCTGGTTCCATTTGGGAAGTGCCTCATAAATTCTCTGAATGAAAGGCTTGTGGGGAGCTCTATTAGATTGGTTGTTATTGTTCCAGCTGAAATATCTTGAGGTGGACAAGAGTTTGGATGCTCAGTGACCAGAGGAAGGGCTTTTCCCAGAAGTAGGCTTAGTGTTTTCCAGGCAACCAGATGAGAAGTCCTGCTTTTCCCTACCATACTTGGTCTCTTCAAGCCTTACACCACAATGACCAACTGATACTCCAGACCGTCAATTGGTGCTACTTTCTTATAATTAAACTTCACTGATTGCCTACATTTTACTGAGAATTTCAACCAGATTTCCCACTGAATTACCCCTTTTTATAAGCCTATTCAAAAATATGAGTTGGATTGAGAATTCTGTGTCCCGCTGGAAAGAGCAATTATGGTGAACATCAAAAATGTGAGATGTCCATCTTAAAAGTGAGTGGGGGGAAATCTGGGAACAAACCCATTCCTACACATCTGGATAAGGTTTGCCAAAGCGCTAGGATATCACACAAAAAGCTTTCCTGTTCTGTTTCAACTGGTCTCAGTGGTTTCTAGGTGACAGTGCATCTTAAGAAAAACCAATATGTAAATTGTCCTCCTTTTCCCATATTTTGGGTGAGCTGAAAGATGCCTTCAAGAACTGCATCCATCCCCTGCAACTTTCTGTGTAGGACAAACTGTGTCTGAACAGTGCTGAGACTGAATCTCCTGTGTGGTCTTGGAGCCATTACTAGGCTCAGGTAAAGATTAGGAGGACAATATATGACTTCATGTCAGGAGGAGGTGAGACTTAGTGGACATGAGCCATGATAGGTCTTGTGATGTCTGAGCTAAACCGCCTCTTTTCCTTGCTAACAATTCCCCAGCACAAGAGTTTCTTAGGAGTTGCTGTTGGTCACCTCTGTGTTGAGCTTGTGTATAACTGCTTTGAGGGCAATTCATCTTTATCCCTCCTCTTCCCATTTTGAGATGCTCATTCCAATGCATGCTGCATCAGAGCAATACTTTAGATCATCCACATGGATCAAGAAGGAAGTGTTATGACCTACAGGAGGGAACACCCATAGATCAAACAAGCTAGTTCCATGTGGAACAAGGTTAGATAGATGTCTATCCAAAATCATTGCCCTACATACATACATCAGCTCGCTGCAGGAAGCAAACCAGGTGGCAATTCATGCAGAACCACTGCACTGTGGTCTGAAGGAGCTCAAGAAGGACCCTGCAAACCCTACGGGAGAAGAGCAGCCATCCCACCCCACGTGCCACCTAATCCAGAGCGTGGAGTGTAGGCTGCTGTTGTGATGGTCGCTGGCACCAGCTCAGCCTTGACACAACAAGAGCCACACCTGAACCTGCTGAGCTGGCTCCAGAAACAGCAATGCACCCAGAGAGATGTTCACACATCCTGTGGATGCAGGGGGAGCTTCCTGTGGTACCTTCCTATTCCCTGTGATGAGCTGGCATTGGCCCTGGTTGTACCTGGGGAGATTCTACCCTGGCCCTTTAAAAGAAACAGCAAAACAATTCCCGACATAAAGTCATAGAGTCGCTGAATGGTTTGGGTTGGAAGGGACCTTAAAGCTCATCCAGTTCCAACCCCTGCCACGGGCAGGGACACCTTCCGCTAGAGCAGGTTGCTCCGAGCCCTGTCCAACCTGGCCTTGAACACTGCCAGGGAAGCTTCTCTGGGCACCCTGTGCCAGCGCCTCAGCACCCTCACAGGGAAGAACTTCTGCCCAAGAGCTCATCTCAATCTCCCCTCTAGCAGGTTAAAGCTATTCCCCTTGTCCTGTCCCTCCATCCCTTGTCCAAAGCCCCTCTCCAGGTTTCCTGGAGCCCCTTTAGGCACTGGAGCTGCTCTAAGGTCTCCCCTTAAGAAGCCTTCTCTTCCCCAGGCTGACCCAGCCCAGCTCTCTCAGTCTGGCTCCAGAGCAGAGCTGCTCCATCCCTTGAAGCAGCTCCGTGCCCTCCTCTGGAGACAATCCAACAGATCCACATCCTTCTTATGCTGGGGGCCCCAAATGTCCTTAATGCCCTTTTCATCTACCTCACTTGTATCTGGGGGCCCTTCCCCAGTACCAAAGTAAACTTTTGTCACTCTATAACAAAATCATACACTGAGCTTGATCTGTCCCTTTCCCCAAACAATACCTCATAGAAATAAGATTAATTATATACACTTTACAATGAATGTGAGTACTGAAAGAACCACAGGTTCAATCAACATCCCTATCACAGACATGGGTTAGCATGGAATCTACAAGGTCATGGAACTCTTCAGGGTCTGTTCAAACACCCACGTGGTCAACCTGGCTGTTGTTGATGGGGATTTTTAAGATGAATTTAAATTGTGTCCCAACTTACTCATGTAGAGTTGACTGCCTGGGCTCCTTGTGTAGCTGCCAGAGCCAGCACAGAATATCCACGTGTTATTCCTCCCATCCGGAACAATCTGTGAGGCAGGTGATGATGTTCTTCCCATCTGGAGAAGCCTCTGAGATAGGTGATATGAATGTGCCTTTCAGGATGGCCTCATTTCCCTCTATAGACCATAAGGGAACCTGGAGGCCACTCAGCTCCTGACTATTGGGTGGTGAAGGTAACATGGGTTGAGCCATCCTCCATCAGACCCACACCACAGATAAGGTGCCAGGAATGAACATTTTCAAACCATAAAGACAATTCACAAACAGACCCAAGCTTCAGCTCCTGGAGCACCACTGATGCGGTAACATGCCAGGAATGTTCCACAACCCACATCTGTCTGTCCACCCAAATCATAAATGGGAATAACAAATCCTAGTGCTTAGGCTGATGCTCGAGGAAATGCCTCCACATTCATGATGGGCAATCCTGCTGGGCCATTTTAATCAGATCAGTGGATAAATAAGTACAGTAATGCACTTACTACTATGAAACAACTACTGCACACATTGGACACATGGCAGTGTAGTACAGTAGCACATTAATGAAGACAGTACTCCAATTTAATAGCTGTCCAGATCAAGTAGATAGACTTGACTGTAGTAGCACTCACAGGATTGAAATGGTAGATCGTGATCACTAGTTGCCTAAACACCTGCGTGAGTAGGGCCCCAAGTGACTTAGAAAATGGGATTGAGATCACACAGAGCACTAATAAAAATGCCTTT